AACATCCAAATTGCTTTGTCTGCGGGGGGAAGCAATTTCACCAACCCGTTGGAAAAAACGCATGCCCCATACTGTGATTGATAGCTTAAGGCTAATCAAGAATGAATAGCAATCAGACTGCAGGCAGAGGTGGGTCTCTGGGAGTTGTAGCAGATCTACCTAATACAGGCAGTCCTCGGGTTACGTCGGACTCGACATACATCGTTTTGTGGTTACGTAGCCATCTCCCATTTATTTATATATATTAAAAAGTTCCGTCATTTTGACGTATGTACATATGTGCTTTATGTTTTTTATTATTTATTTACCATAACTAAAGGTCAGAAGTTGTTATCTTTCTTTTAAATTTTTTTTACTGTTTCGCTTCATTACTGCTGTGTATGTGCTCCATGTGAGTGACATAGGTGCTTACGTAGGTGGGTTCTGACTTACGGCGAAAATCACATTATGTTGCGCAGTAGGAATGGATCTCCAATGTAACCCGAGGACCTACTGAACACAGACACAACCCAAACAGGCAGCCAACATGGGAAGACAAAAAAACAAGCCCCTAATGAAAGAGCAAGAGCTAGAAGAAGAGCTAAAAGAAATGAGATAAGAAATCTATCAGATATACAGTTAAGAATAATCTATCAGATATACAGTTCAGGCAAGGATGCTGCACAACATGAGAAAAGATATAATAACTATGAAAAAAGACCAGTCAGAAATGAAGAATGGAGAAACCAAGATGGCGGCATAGGTTAACGCTGGAGATTGCTGCCTCGAACAACCACTTCAAAAAACAACTAAAAGACGGTACGGACATCATCCAGAACCACAGGAAGGCTGGCTGAGTGGAAATTCTACAACAAGAAGGAAAGAGAATATCATGCCCAGACTCAGAGGAGGAGCAGTGCTGAAGTGAAATACTCAGGTGCGGAGTGCACGCGGAGCGGGCTGGAGGCGGAGGGCGCGGTTGTTGTTTTCAATCGGGAGGGAGTTTCAGACTCTGAGCTCCAGATCCGGGCGAGTCTCTAGGGACCCAGACTCAAACGGGAGAAGTGGGACTGTCTGGCTTCGGTCGGAACTCGAAGGCAGCTTTCTCTCCAAGGTTTGCAGCGGTTGCTGGGACTCTGTGAGGCAGAGCCCCTAGGGACGGAACTGAGAGCAGCCATAACTGCTCGCTCCAGCCCGCCCTGTAGATCCCCGGGGACCCGCCCCACCCAAGCCCTGCACAGAGCCATTTGCCGGATAGCCTCAGGCAAACGCTAGATTAGCACCGCCCTAGAGATCCAGCACAGAAGCTCTCCCACTGCAGACACAGCGGACTCTCATAGCCAGTCAGCCTGGAGGGTCAAATCACCCCCGGTATTGCCAACAACAATCAAGGCTTAACTACAACAAGACTTCACACAAAGAACACTAGGGGGTGACCAAGAAAGCATAAAAAATGCGGAGACAAAGAAATAGGACAAAACTGTCAATGGAGGATATTGAGTTCAGAACCACATTTTTAAAGTCTCTCAAGAACTGTCTAGAAGCTGCCGATAAACTTAATGAGGTCTACAAGAAATCTAATGAGACCCTCGATGTTATGATAAAGAACCAACTACAAATTAAGCATACACGGACTGAAATAACGAATACTATACAGACTCCCAACAGCAGACCAGAGGAGCGCAAGAATCAAGGCAAAGATTTGAAATGCGAAGAAGCAAAAAACACCCAACCAGAAAAGCAAAATGAAAAAAGAATCCGAAAATACGAAGATAGTGTAAGGAGCCTCTGGGACAGCTTCAAGTGTACCAACATCAGAATTATAGGGGTGCCAGAAGATGAGAGAGAGCAAGATATTGAAAACCTATTTGAAGAAATAATGACAGAAAACTTCCCCCACCTGGTGAAAGAAATAGACTTACAGGTCCAGGAAGCGCAGAGCACCCCAAACAAAAGGAATCCAAAGAGGACCACACCAAGACACATCATAATTAAAATGCCAAGAGCAAAAGACAAAGAGAGAATCTTAAAAGCAGCAAGAGAAAGAAACTCAGTTACCTACAAGGGAACACCCATATGACTGTCAGCTGATTTCTCAACAGAAACTTTGCAGGCCAGAAGGGAATGGCAAGAAATATTCAAAGTGATGAATGCCAAGAACCTACAACCAAGATTACTTTATCCAGCAAAGCTATCATTCAGAACTGAAGGTCAGATAAGGAGCTTCACAGATAAGGAAAAGCTAAAGGTGTTCATCACCACCAAACCAGTATTATATGAAATGCTGAAAGGTATCCTTTAAGAAGAGGAAGAGGAAGAAAAAGGTAAAGATACAAATTATGAACAACAAACATGCATCTATCAACAAGTGAATCTAAGAATCAAGTGAATAAATAATCTGGTGATCATAATAGAATCAGGGACATAGAAAGGGAATGGACTGACTATTCTTGGGGGGGAAAGGGGTGTGGGAGATGCGGGAAGAGACTGGACAAATATCGTGCACCTATGGATGAGGACAGTGGGTGGGGAGTGAGGGCGGAGGGTGGGGCGGGAACTGGGAGGAGGGGAGTTATGGGGGGAAAAAAGAGGAACAAATGTAATAATCTGATCAATAAAGATTTAATTAAAAAAAAAGAAATGAAGAATGATATAGCACTAATAAAGAACACATTGAAAGGAATACACAGGAGATTAGGGGAAGCTGAGGATCAGATCAGTCAATTAGAAGACAGTGTAGAAAAAAATCAATCAATCAATTAGAGGACCAAAAAGAAAAAAAATTTAAAAACAAGAGGACAGCTTAAGGGAGCTGTGGGAGAACATGAAATGTAATAATATTCACATCATAGAGGTATCAGAAGGGGAAGAAAGTGAGGAAGGGATAGAGAATGTGCTTGAAGAAATAATAGCAGAAAACTCCCCTAACCTGGTGAAGGAAAAAGTCACACAAGTCCAGGAGGCACAGAGTTCCAAGCAAGAAAACCCAAACAGGCCCACACCCAGAAACATCATCATTAAAATGCCAAAAATTGCCCTAACTGGTTTGCCTCGGTGGATAGAGTGTTGGCCTGCGGACTGAAGGGTCCCAGGTTCGATTCCAGTCAAGGGCATGTACCTTGGTTTCGGGCACATTCCCAGTGGGGTGTCTGCAGGAGGCAGCTGATCGATGTTTCTAACTCTCTATTCCCTCTCCCTTCCGCTCTGTAAAAAATCAATAAAATATACTCTTATTAAAAAAGAAATAAAGAAAGAAAAATGCTAAATGGACTGGTGTAATGAGAAGAAGAAGGAGAGAGAGAAAAACCTAGGCATACAGAATTAAAAATAAATAAGTACCCACCAATAATAACCTTAAATGTAAATGGATTAAATGCTTCAATCAAAAGACATAGGGTAGCTGAATGGATACAAAACATGATCCAATTATATGATATCTACAAGAGACTCACCTCAGAACAAAAGACTCACACAGGATGAGAGGGAAGGGATGGAAAAAAATTTTCCATGCCAGTGGAAAGAAAAAAAAAAGCTGGAGTAGCAATACTCATATCTGACAAAATAGACTTTATAATGAAGGCCATCATAAGAGACAACAAAGGTCACTACATAATACTAAAGGGATTGATCCAACAAAAGGATATAACCTTAGTAAACATATATGCACCCAATATAGAAGCACCTAAATAGGTACTTTTAAAAACCTTCTGGAGGACTTTAAGGAAGAGATCAACAGCAATACAGTCACAGTAGGGACTTTAACACCCCTGCTGACTTCACTGGATAGATCTTCCAGACAAAAAATTAACGATGAAACAGTGGCTCTAAATGACACCCTGGACCAGATGGGTTTAATTGACATTTATAGAACATTTCACCCCAAAGCTGCAGAATATACAGTTTTTCAAGTGCACTTGGGTCATTCTCAAAGATAGACCACCTGTTAGGACACAAAACAAGTCCCTACAAGTTCAAGAAGGTTGAAATAAAATCATAATGGAATTAAATTAAATAAACTTCGGTAAATATACTCCAAGACATTCAAACACATGGAGACTAAAAAGCATGTTATTAAACAATGAATGGGTTACCAACGAGATCCAGAAAGAAATCAAACTTCCTGGAAACAAATGAAAATGAACACACAACAACACAAAATCTCCGGGACACAGCAAAAGCAGTCCTGAGAGAGAAATTCATAGCACTGTAGGACCACCTCAAAAAACAAGAAAAAAAAAATTTTTTTTTAATGTATAGGGCGTAATGTCACAGGAAGGCCATAGCATGCTGCCACCCGTGAGGAGTAAGCCCAAGGTGCTGTTGGCTGTGTTACACACAGAGAAGCCATTCTTCAGGCGCTCAACAAGAAAAATTATTAATAAACTATCTCATCCTACAATTTAAAGAATTAGAAAGAAAACAACAAGAAAAGCCCAGAGTAACTAGGAAGGAAGGAACTAAAGATTAGAGGTGAATGGCGGGGGGAGAGGGGGTGGACATGGGGACATAGGTAATACTTTCCACAATAAAGATTTTTTAAAAATAAAATTAAATAATCTCAAAAAATATGGAGGGGGCATCTGTAATACTCTCAACAATAAATATATATTTAAAATAAGGATAATAATAAATGCTAATAATGATCAATACTGCCTACCAGGGAAGAAATCTTTCCCCACCGAGAGCCATGAGCTCTGCAGTGACACTGTGCCTGTGTTTGTATTACACTTGCCAGATGGGGGTGAAACTGGACCAGGAACTCACTGAGCCTGTTTCCTCACCTATCAAAGAAGATGATAATAGTTTCTCCCTAGAGGGTTATTGTAAAAATTCAATGACTAAATAATGCACAATATGGAGGGTTATATAAGTGATAGCAACTGGCCGGCCCAGAGGAAGCTCTCAGACAATGTCATCATCGTCATAACCATTTACGCTGAAACCTAATAACCTGAGCCTCCATGGAGGCAGGTGGGAGGGAGGCAGGGGTGCGTGGGCGGGAGGCACGGGGAACCAGTCACCTGGCCGAAGTGTTCCATCCCTGGCTGCAGCCCCCTTCTTGAGGAGGTGGGTGATCTGGAGGTAGGGCCCATGCTGGATGATTATCAGGCCTAACCCCAGGCTGCCCACAGGGAGTTTGGTCTTCTGAGTTTTGCTCAAGTTGTGCACAGATGACTTGACCTGGAAGCTGGCTTGTTTTTCTGATAAAGAGAGGGAGATGTGTTTTAGACCGTCACCTCAACGGCAGCGTGCCAGTCGTCACAGGGGCTCTAAAGCAGACCTCTAGGGCAGTTAACACTCCATTCCTCAGTTTCCTTATCAGTACAGTGAGGATAGTAAGTGTCCACCTCAGAGGGTTATAATGAGAATTAAATAAGGCAGTGAAAGCTTTTGCCCAGAAATTAGCACACTGTGAATGGTTAATTAACATTAGTTATCATTATCCATTCACTTAACAAGTATTATTGACTCAGAAGTGTCTGCCCCCACAGATCTTCCCACCTAGCGGAGGAGACAGATATCCATTCGCCAAGTGACCAGACGATGAGTAACAGCTGTAACTCAGGCCGTGCAGGAGAGGCACGGAAAGCTCAGGGAGACCAACAGGAGGTCAGGTCTCCTGGGGGGGAGGCAGGACAGGCTTCACAGAGGAGGTGAAATTCGAATTGAGGTCGAAGGAACTAATCGGAAATATTTATGCAAAGGAGATGAAAGGGAGCAAATGAGACCAAGGTTCAGAGACAGGAAAGGGCGTAAAGGAGGAGGGCCGGCAGGAGAAGCAAACGCAGAGCAGACCTGCCTCCGTTACCCAACTGGGAAAGCTAGGAGCTGTTTTCACCGAACACAATAAAATTTGCATTTTTCTTTTTTTCTTTTTTTTTCCTTTTTTTTTTTTATTATTAGTTAAGGTATTACAAATGTGTCCTCATCCCCCCCCATTAACCCCCAACCTCCCCCCCACACACAAACTCATGCTCCCATCCCCCTGCTGTCCATGTCCATTGGTTTGGCTTATATACATGTATACAAGTCCTTCGGTTGATCTCTTTCCCCCACCCCCGCCCTCCCCTACTTTCCTTCTGGGGATTGACAGCCTGATCGCTGTTTCTCAGTCTTTGGGTCTGTCCCTTTTCATCAGTCTATGTTGTTCTCTATAATCCACAAATGAGTGAGATCATGTGGTACTTATCTCTCTCTGACTGGCTTATTTCACTTAGCATAATGCTCTCCAGTTCCATCCATGCTGTTGCAAAAGGCAAGAGTTCCTTTTTTTTTACCGCAGCGTAGTATTCCATTGTGTATATGTACCACGGTTTTCTAATCCACTCATCTGCTGATGGGCACTTAGGCTGTTTCCAAATCTTAGCTATGGTGAATTGTGCTGCTATGAACATAGGGGTGCATATATCCTTTCTGATTGGCGTTTCTGGTCTCTTGGGATATATTCCTAGTAGTGGGATCACTGGGTCAAATGGGAGTTCCATTTTTAGTCTTCTGAGGTAGCTCCATACTGTTCTGCACAGTGGCTGCACCAGTCTGCATTCCCACCAGCAGTGCAGAAGGGTTCCTTTTTCTCCACATCCTCTCCAACACTTGTTGTTTGTTGATTTGTTGATGATAGCCATTCTGACAGGTGTGAGATGATAACGCATTGTCGTTTTGATTTGCATCTCTCGTATAATTAGTGACTTTGAGCAGGTTTTCATATGTCTTTCGGCCTTCTGTATGTCCTCTTTCGAAAAGTGTCTATCTAGGTCCGTTGCCCACTTTTTTATTGGATTGTTTACCTTCCTTTTGTTAAGTTTCATGAGATCCCTGTAAATGTTGGAAATTAAACCCTTATTGGTGGTATCATTGGCAAATATGTTCTCCCATGTAGTGGGTCTTCTTGTTGTTTTGTTGATGGTTTCCTTTGCTGTGCAAAAGCTTTTTATTTTGATGTAGTCCCATTTGTTCATTTTCTCTTTAGTTTCCATTGCCCTAGGAGCATTATCAGAGAAGAAATTTCTTTGGCATATGTTTGCGATTTCGCTGCCTGTGGATTCCTCTAGTATTTTTATGGTTTCCCGTCTTACGTTTAAGTCTTTTATCCATTTTGAGTTTATTTTTGTGTATGGTGTGAGTTGGTGATCTAGTTTCATCCTTTTGCATGTATCTGTCCAATTTTCCCAACACCATTTATTGAAAAGACTGTCTTGACTCCATTGTATGCTCTTGCCTCCTTTGTCAAATATTAATTGAGCATAGTGGCTTGGGTCGATTTCTGGGGTCTCTATTCTATTCCATTGATCTATATGTCTGTTCTTGTGCCAGTACCAAGCTGTTTTAAGAACAGTGGCTTTGTAATACAGTTTGATATCTGGTATTGAGATCCCACCTACTTTGTTCTTTCTCAGGATTGCTGCAGCTATTCGGGATCTTTTTTTATTCCAGATGAATTTTTGGAACGTTCGTTCTAGATTTGTGAAATATGCCGTTGGTAATTTAATGGGGATTGCATTGAATCTATAAATTGCTTTGGGTAGTATGGACATTTTGATGATGTTGATTCTACCAATCCATGAACACGGTATATTCTTCCATCTGTTTATGTCTTCCTCTATCTCTTTTTTCAGTGTCCTGTAGTTTTCAGCATATAAGTCTTTTACCTCCTTAGTTAAGTTTATTCCTAGGTATTTTAATTTTTTTGGTGCAATGGTAAATGGGATTGCTTCTGTAGTTTCACTTTCTGTAAGTTCACTATTGGTGTAAAGAAATGCCATGGATTTCTTAGCATTAATTTTGTATCCTGCTACATTGCCAAATTCATTTATTAAGTCTAATAATTTTTTGATGGAGTCTTTAGGGTTCTGTATGTACACTATCATGTCATCTGCAAATAAGGACAGTTTTACTTCTTCTTTTCCAATCTGGGTGCCTTTTATTTCTTCTTCGTGTCTGATCGCAATGGCTAGTACTTCCAGTACTATGTTGAACAGGAGTGGTGAGAGGGGGCATCCCTGTCTTGTTCCTGTTTTTAGGGGGAATGGTTTTAGTTTTTGCCCATTGATTATGATGTTGGCTGTGGGTTTGTCATATATGGCTTTTATTATGTTGAGGTATGATCCCTCAATTCCTATCTTGCTGAGAGTTTTTATCAAGAAAGGGTGTTGGATTTTGTCAAATGCTTTCTCCGCATCAATTGATATGACTATGTGGTTTTTTTCTCTCAATTTGTTTATGTGATGTATCACGTTTATTGATTTGCGGATATTGTACCATCCTTGCATCCCTGGGATAAATCCTACTTGGTCATGGTGTATGATCTTTTTGATGTACTGCTGGATCTGATTTGCTAGGATTTTGTTGAGGATTTTGGCATCTATGTTCATGAGGGATATTGGTCTGTAATTCTCTTTCATTGTATTGTCTTTATCTGGTTTTGGGATTAGGGTGATGTTGGCTTCATAGAATGAGCTGGGAAGTGTTCCTTCCTCTTGGATCTTTTGACATAGTCTGAGGAGGATAGGTTTTAGGTCTTCCTTGAATGTTTGGTAAAACTCCCCTGTGAAGCCATCTGGCCCCGGGCTTTTGTTTGCTGGAAGCTTTTTGATTACTGCTTCGATTTCCTCCATAGTTATTGGCCTATTGAGATTTTTAGATTCTTCCTGGTTAAGTTTTGGAAGGTTGTATTTATCTAGGAATATGTCCATTTCCTCCAGGTTGTCTAGTGTGTTGGAGTAGAGTTGTTCATAGTATTTTCTAACAATCCTTTGTATTTCTATGGGGTCTGTTGTTATTTCTCCTCTTTCATTTCTGATTTTGTTTATTTGGGTCCTCTCACTTTGTTTCTTGGTGAGCCTGGCTAGAGGTGTATCAATCTTGTTTATCCTTTCAAAGAACCAGCTCTTGGTTTTGTTGATCTTTTGTATTGTTTTTTTTGGTCTCTATGTCGTTTATCTCCGCTCTGATCTTTGTTATTTCCTTCCTTCTGCTTACAGTGGGCTTTTTTTGTTGCTCCCTTTCTAATTCTTCGAGTTGTAGAGTTAGGTCATTTATTCTCATTGTTTCTTGTTTCTTGCAGTAGGCTTGTAGAGCTATGAACTTCCCTCTCAAGACTGCTTTTGCTGTGTCCCATAGGTTTTGGATTGTTGTGTTTTCATTGTCATTTGTTGCCATGATGTTTTTTATTTCTTCTTTGATCTCACTGGTGACCCAGTCGTTGTTTAATAGCATGCTATTTAGTCTCCATGTGTTTGATTTTTTTGGATTGTTTTTGTTGTAGTTGATTTCCAGTTTTATGCCTTTGTGGTCTGAGAAGATACTTGATATGATTTCAATTTTCTTGAATTTGAAGAGACTTTGTCTGTGACCCAATATATGGTCTACTTTGAAGATGACAAATGTACACCTGAGGAGAATGTATATTCTGTGGCTTTGGGGTGAAATGTTCTGAAGATGTCAATTAATTCCATCTGATCTAGTGAGTCATTTAGGATTGATGTTTCTTTGCTGAGTTTCTGTTTAGAGGATTTGTCCAGTGGAGATAATGGGGTGTTAAGGTCCCCCACTATGATTGTATTGCTGTCAATCTCTCCCTTGATCTTCTCCAGGAGATTTCTTACGTATTTGGGTGCTCCTATATTGGGTGCATATATATTTACCAGAGTTATTTCTTCTTGTTGGACTGCTCCCTTTAGTATTATGAAGTGGCCTTCTTGATCTCTTTTTATGTCCTTCACTTTGAGATCTAATTTGTCAGATATAAGTATTGCTACCCCAGCTTTTTTTTTCGCTTCCATTGGCCTGAAAAACCTTTTTCCATCCCTTCACCATCAGTCTGTGTGCGTCTTTTTTTCTGAGGTGGGTTTCCTGTAGACAGCAGATGTATGGGTCATGTTTTCTTATCCACTCATTTACCCTATGCCTTTTGACTGGGGAATTTAATCCATTTACATTTAAAGTTATTATTGATAGAAACTTATTAGTCGCCATTTTTGTTCTTTACCGCTGCGTTCCTTCTTTGTTTCCTGTTTTTTCTATTTACAGCAGACCCTTTAGCATTTCTTGCATTGCTGGTTTGGTTGTAATAAACTCCCGTAGACCGTTTTTGTCTGTGAAGCTCCTGATTTGACCCTCAATTTTGATTGATAGCCTCGCTGGGTATAGTATTCTTGGATTCAGACTCTTCCTTTGCATGACTTTGTATATTTCTTTCCATTCCCTTCTTGCCTGATGTGTTTCTGTTGAGAAATCGGTCGCTAGTCTGATGGGGGACCCTTTGTAGGTAACTTTCTGTCTCTCTCTGGCTGCTTTTAAGATTCTTGCTTTGTCGTTGGTGTTTGCCAATTTAATTATTATGTGCCTTGGTGTCGGTCTTTTCGGGTTCATTTTGTTTGGGACTCTGTGAGCTTCTTGGATTTGTGTGAGTTTTTTCCTCCCTATATCAGGGAAATTTTCTGTTACTATTTTTTCAAACAGGTTTTCTATTCCTTGCTCAGTTTCCTCTCCTTCTGGCATCCCTATTATTCGGATGTTGTATCGTTTAGCATTGTCCCAGAGTTCTCTTAGGCTCTCCTCCTGCTTTTTAATTTTTTTTTCTAGAAGCTGTTCTGTTTGGGTATTTTTTTCTACCTTGTCTTCTAGCTCGCTGATGCGGTCCTCTGCTTCTTCTAGTCTACTGTTGATGCTTTCTATTGAGTTCTTTATGGCAGTGATGTCGTTTTTCATTTCTTCTTGGTTTCTCTTCATTTCCTCTTCATTCTTCTTCATTTCCTCTTGGTTCCTACACATATTGTTGAATTGGTCTTCCATTCTTTTCATCCACCTTATGGCCATTACTCTGAATTCTTTCTCTGACAGGTTGCTTGCCTCCATTGCCTCCATTTCGTTTACTTCCTTTTCTGATGATGCCTGTTTTTCTTTCATATTTGGGTTGGTTCTTTGTTTCACCATGATTTCTCTTCTCAAGGTGTTTGGTTATGTAGTTCTCTCTCTGCTGCGCTGATTCAAAGGCACAAAATACAACACAACAAGGCACAACGTACAAGGCACCAAACTAAATGCATTCACGGTATTAATAACCCCAAATAAAGGTGACCCCCCGAGCGAAGAGAATTAGGGGATAAAGAAGAAAAAAGAGAAAAAGATTAAAGAGAAAAATAAAAAACAAAAAGGAGTGCCGAAATGAGATTGGGAAAAGGGAGAGAAGAAAAAAACAAAAAGACAAAAAAACAACAACAACAAAAAAAGTAAGAGAATGAAATAGAGGTGGGGAAGAGGCTATTTGTACGGGGAGAGCGAGGGATTGGAAATTAGATATATAACTAGGGTGAAATTTAGACAGTGGGTAGAAAGAAGGAATAGGTAAAATCCAAAGCAGGAATAGGGTAAGAGAAACAGGACAACAAAAGGGGAAAAGTGAGGAAGAGAGTTATGGCTTAAGGGTAAATGTGAGATAGAGAGAAATGATGCTAAAGGAACGATGAAAATAGAGTGTAGAACACTAATCCCAAAATAAAATAAAGAAAAATAAAAAAAATAATAAAAAATAAAATGACACTTGAAAAAATGGTAAAAGGATAGCAATAATACTGGTTAAAAAAATGTAGTAATTAAAAAGGTAAAATCAAGTGATGAAAAAAATAAAAAAAAATAAAATAAAATAGGTTCTTAATGAAATGGTGAAAAAAGAATTAAAAAAATATATATATAAAAATATTCGGAAGTGAAGGTGCTTCAGATCTTCCACTCTTCTTTTTGGCATGCCTCAGTCCTGCCAGGCATTAAGGGGAGTGTTGAACTTCCCTGCGATACACTGTCCCTCCGTGCAGTAAACCACAGACCTGATTTTAAGGCAGCTTGTATTTGTTTACCAGACTGCCTTTATTTGTGATCGCAGAAGAGACAGTTCGTGGCTCTGCCTCTGGGTGGCAGTGTGTCTGGATTGACCTCCGAGGCTATAAGTCCTCTCTATCAGTAGGGTTTTGTTTTGTTTTTTTTTTCCTCTATGGTATTTGGAACTGATTCGGGAAAGACCACTGCCCAGAGCTGGTTCCTTGCCACTGCCCGCTGTTTCCCAGGCTCCCCAAAAAGAACTTTCTCCTACAGGCTCTGCGAATGACCCCAACTGGGGAATCCCATGCACTGGGTTTAATAATCAAATGCACGGATCTAAGGGGAACTGTAACAAGAGCCTGATAGTTGTGCGAATTCACAAGCCTCCACCTTCCAGGTCTGTGCACAGTCTCCGCGCGCCCACTCACCCCTGGCACCAAGCAGCCAGCAGATTGGCAAAGTCCAAGGCTGCTCCCTTACATCCAGTCCAGCTATGGGCTCATTTTTCGTGTTCCCTTCTGCCAGCAGCCCTGTGGGGCCCCTTCCCCACTCGCGGGTCACGCTGGTCCCAACGGCTGCAGACTCTGTGGGGCGCAGATTCTGCCCCGCGCGCGCGAGCTCGGTCCTCCCTCCAACCCGAACTGCAAACCGCACCTTTAGGGGATCTCCAACCTTTCCGTGAGAGGAAGCAGTGCTCGTGTGAGTTCAGGCAGTCACGCTGCTTGAGATCCCTTGTTTCCAGGTTAGTAGCTGGTCTCTGGATGCCGGCAACAACCACCCAAGATGGCGCAGTCTCCGCTGCTGAGCTGGCGCACCACGAGAGGCTTCAGCCGCAGTCTCCAACCGTCCTTTTTTTTTTCCTGGGGGTTCTCAGTCTTTCCTAGCTGCAGACAGTCTCTCAGCTGAAAATCCTCTGCCTATTCGGGCTGCATGTTACCTGTTTCAGCTGCTCACCCTTATCTGCTCCAGGACAAGGCACAGGACACGTCCGTTTATACCTCCGCCATTTTCCCTCCTCCAAATTTGCATTTTTCAAAATGGGAACCCTCCTGTTTCTGTGTGGAGCACGGATTAGGGGGGCCAGCGTGGACTTGAGAAATGAAGGGGTTACTGCAATCACCCAAGCACCCATGACAATGAGTGTAAATGCCCAGTAGCTTAAACGCATTTGGGAGAAGACACTGGACAATGGGTAGTGGGAGGGGTTGAAATAGGTTTTCTACAGAACTGAACCTCACAAGAAAGTTTCAAAGACTGAGCAGTGATTTAAAACAAGAGGAAGCTTTGGAGACTCGTTTTCACTACGCTACACAGGAGCTTCTGGTGAGATGTGTTTTCTGCACATTTTCCCAGCGTTTCACTCACACACACTTTTCTTTGAGGACAAATGACAAACTGCTACTCGCCAAGTCTTTGCCAAGTTCATGTGACTGGTATTTGGGGGCCTGGGAGACCTCCCTGTCCTGAGGAAGGGGCTTCCCTTCTCCCCCACCCCAGCTGTGGGGAACTGGCAGGGTTCATGGCCCTTTCCGCCAAGCAAGTGCCCCGGCCCATCTCCACCCTCTGTCTGCAAAATACAGCGACCCAACTTCAGAGGCTCTGCAAGACTGTAGGGGCGACTCGGAGAAGATGGTGCCTGAGCCTTTGGTTCCTGGGCACACAGAGTGGCCTCTTAGGCACGGCTTCCCTCCCATCTCCAGCTTGCAAATGAAATGCCCTCGTGATATGCTCCACTGTCTCAAAGGACAGCAGAGTAAGTGAAAGAAGCGCTAGATCCCATGTTTGTGACATTTTCTATGGAAAGGGCAAACTACAGAAACAGATCAGGGGCTGGGGCCGGGAGAGGGTAGGCGCCAAGGTGCCACCTTTTGACCGCGGTGGTCGTTAATGGAGGGTATGCAACTGTCAAAACCCACAGACCGGTGCTCTCAAAGCCAGACTCTTACTGGATGTAAACGATAGTCCGGTCAACGAATGGCGAGAGGCCAAGAGGGTGGCGCTCCCATTTTACAGAGGAGGAGAGTGAGGAATGCTTGGCCAACCCACTCACCTTCCCAGGCACCTTTTCTGCTTTTGGAGACGGCCTTCTCCATGGTCCAGGGAGGGCAGGCCGTCAGGAGGGCCTCCCGGAGCTGGAGCCGGAGCCGGAGCCCAAGTCCGTCCAACTCCCAACTGTCTGGAACCCTGGAGGCGTGAGGAGCCCGAGTGCGCATGGGCTCCCGGGCTCCCACCACTCACTGCGGGGCAGGAGGGGGGGCAGGGCGGCGAGGAGCCCGAGACCTGCCTTCGCCCCCGCCCCCCCCCCCCACGCAAGGGCTGCCCCAGGGGCCCCGCGACCATGACAGCTAGAAGCGGGGCAGCAGTGCTGTCAACACAGGCTTCAGCGGGCCCTGGGAAATGGAGTAAAAGTTCTGGCGCAGAAAAACAGAACTTCTGCAGGGCACAGTACAGGCTCGCGGCGGGTCCACATCCACCCCTGAGAAGCACTGAAATGGGAGCGTGCAGAAGCAGGGGCGGGTCTTAAAATGCGGCCTGTTCCCGGAGAAGGGTCTCAGCGAGCACAGCCTCCCCCGCCGCCTCCTCCTCCGAATGATGGCGTTTTAAATACTGATGCATCAACAACTCAAGGCTTTGGGGCTGCGCTTTTTCCAGGGATATTTTGAATGAGAAGAAGCCAAGGGTGATGTGTAAAAACGAGTCGCCGTTTGGAGAGGAATTAATTCTTCCCATTTTGCCCAAAACCCTTTCCTCCCACGGAGGTCCACGCAGACAGGAGCCTGCTCTGCAGTTTGCGGTGATGCCAAGGGCACCACAAGGGCTCTACCTCTTGGAACGGAGATTTAAAACACTGATGGAGTGGGCAGTTTCCGGAAAATATAAATTCTCAAAAATCAATTCCAGAAGAAATAGAAAACAGAACGAGGTAGGTCCTGTTGTCCGCCCCACTTGAGGTTGAGAGGCTGAGCACCTAGCCCTCCCGCCTTCAGCAAAGAGCCACCAAGCACCAGCCGGCGGCAGGCACTGTGCCAGGCAGGTCTATCCAGGCAGGACACCCCGCAGGCTTCTTGTTGGCAAGTCCCGTGTCGCAGAGGCTGGCACAAAGGCAATGAACAGAGCTGTCCTGTTCCCCCTACTCCCCACTCCGGGTTCCCCTGCGGGCGGCTTCTCATGACGGGAATAGCCTGCTTCCTCCTCCAGGCTACCTGGCAAAGCATCTGTCCAGTTGCCAGTAATTCTACCAAAAGGCACATCCTTCTCCTCCGTTTTCCTGTGAGCAGGGGAATGTGAGCGTCTGTGGGGATGAGGCCTGGCAGCTTCCGAGGTTCTGTGAGCAGAGCACCTGTGGGCAGGGCGGGGCTCCACCCGCTGCCCCTCCACCCCAGGCTGAAAACGCTTCTGAGAGGAGGCCAAGATCACTGATGGTTGGAACTGCCGGGTACAAACTGTCATGGGTGCTGTACTGTGCCACCCAGTCTCCCTTCAGGACTGAAGGACTCCCCTGCCCCCCACCTCCCTCCTGCTGCCAGCTTAAGAGAGCTTCTTGCCCAAGTTCACACCTTCCAGGTCAGCCAACAACCAGTGAGAGATCAATGCAGGGTAAAAACTTGCTCCCTCGGCCCAACTCAAACAACTCTGGAGGGCCACCCCAGCTTCAGAGCTCCCTGCACTAAAACCTGACTTCTCCCGCCTGGTCCTACTTCCTTCCCGCCCCCCACAGGTGTGGGTCCCAAGCACAGTCCCGATCGATAAACACCCTGCAAGTCAGTGTGTTTCCCAGAGAACCCACGTGCACCAGCAGCTGGGAGGTCTGAAAGCGTAGATGCGACAATGGGATTAGGGAGCTGGGGACTCCAGATGACAATGAGGGCCCCGCCCACCGCAGACAGGGAAGCACTTAGACCAGTGGTTCTCAACCTTCCTAATGCCGCGACCCTTTAATACAGTTCCTCATGTTGTGGTGACCCCCAACCATAAGATTATTTTCGTTGCTACTTCATAACTGTAATTTTGCTACTGTTATGAATCGTCATATAAATATCTGATGTGCAGGATGTATTTCCATTGTTACAAATTGAACATAATTAAAGCATAGTGATTAATCACAAAAACAATATGTAATTATATATGTGTTTTCCGATGGTCTTAGGCGACCCCTGTGAAAGGGTTGTTCGACCCCTAAAGGGGTCTCGACCCACAGGTTGGCGACTCACAGGTTGAGAACCGCTTAGAGGATTCAGTTTTTCTCCAGTAGTAAAATGGAATGAGTGGGCACCCACATAACCCATGTGGGTGTCCCTTGCCCCATTTTGACAGAATATAGACAAATACAGCAGCCACAGCCTGAGAAGTGCATGGCAACCAGGAGCTTAAACTCCACAGGGATAGCAGCCTAGGTCCCCCACCACATACGCCACCTAGGCCATCAGAAGTGCTGGCAGAGGGTTCGAGGAATCAGGATGACAGGAGAGGAGGGAAATGACAGCAATGTCAGCTCTGCCTCGAGGTGAGCAGCAGCGCAGTGGGTGCTCTAGTGTGTTCCTCTCCTCTTTCTCTTGTCGGTTTCCTGCAGGAAAGGACACTCCGGGGTCCTGAAGGTGCTGCTCTCCAAACTGAAAAGCGTAGCACACCGTGGGTGCACGGTTGCAAATGCTAGTGCGCCGCCTAGTCCCCCTTCAGGGCTCAAACACCGATTCCCCAGCTACAGGGATGGTAATAGGAAGGTTGACAGATCTCAGCTGCCAGCCTCTCAAGGAATTGTCCTTGGCCGAGAGCCACCTTACCCAAGGTAGTGACTGGTCCATGCAGACATACGAAGGCTTGGCGTCTCTACTCAGTAACAACCCTAAATAGCCATCCGGCTTCAGAGGTCCCTGTGGGGCCTGTCAGAGCCCATGATTGCACCCCTGCAACTGCTTCCTCTGCTCAATCCTGCTTGCTCCCTCCCCCACAGGGGCTGATCCTGACAACACTCCCTAAGAAGTCCCTGCACACTTCAGTCAGCTCTGCCAATCTGCGCAACTAAGAGAGACTCGAACCCAAGGAATGGCTGTTAACTTGTGGATGTGGCTTTTTGTTGTATCTGATCCCAGAAACCCTGGATGAGTGTGGCACATCCAGCTTGCTCTTGGCCCACATGGTCAACTTAAACCCCAGGGAGGCAATGGGTTCCTTATCTGGTCAGGCCAGAGACTCCTTAAAGAGAAGAGTGATTGCACAGCCCCCTCCACAGCTTTCCCAGAGGTCCCATCTGGATTCAGCTTCTGCCTACCATCCATCATGATAAAGCACATTGTGTTCACAGCCCTTTAACAGTGCAGAATGGCTACTTATGACTTCAGGCTGCCAGCATAGCTCCCTCCCGGGGCCTTCTATGTTCTTCTGGGTCCCCAAGGACTTCCTGCCTTTAAGGAGCCTCATGGCTCATCCTTTCGGAGAAGTGCCAGCTGCTTTGCTTAGAGGTTCATCACTAAAGCAGAGGGGGGAAAGATGGGGGAAAGAGTCCCAGAGAGGTGACATGACTTTCCCAAGTTCAAGTCAGCAGCAGGGGTGGGCCTAGAATATAGCTCTGTATTCATTTTACTCTGTCATACCACCTCTCCCTAACCCCTAGGGTTTGCTCAGCTAAAATCTAGACTAAGAAGGATCTCATCTATGGGACATGAGATCTGTCCCATAGATCTCAGAGAGACGTAGTAATGTAAAACACCAGATATTGGGAGGCAAGAGAGATGTGGGACTGAAAATAGGATTGATGGGAAAACTGTAAACATAGTATTTGGTCCCTGTCAGCCCTCCCCCCACCCCCCCTCCCCCACCTCACTCTCATTGTCTGTAGTGATGTGCAGCCATTTATCTGGTAAAAAATGTTTTAAATTTTGCTCAGCTGGCATGGCTCAGTGGTTGAGCATCAATCTATGAACCAGGAGGTCACGGTTCAGTTCCCAGTCAGGGTACATGCCCAGGTTGCAGGCTTGATCCCCAGTAGGGGACATGCAGGAAGCAGCGGATCAATGATTCTCTCTCATCATTGTTTCTCTCTCCCTCCCCCTTCCTCTCTGAAATCAATAAAAATATATTTTAAAATGTCTTAAATTTTTACATGTTTTTTTTTATGCTTTAATTTTAAATCCAGAACCTTTTTTGGAGGGGCAGAGGCAGGTGGGCCTGGGAAGTGTTGCTGGGTAGGAAGAATTTATACTTCTATTTTTTAAACACAAGAATCATTCCACTCAGTTGGAGTTCAAATAGACAAACTGTTCCAAAATTTCACCTAGGGATTCTCATCAACTTTCCAGTGGTGAGTATCAGTGGACATTGAGAATTCAGACCTGGATAGTTGGGAGTTTCTTCTATTACTGGGCAATAGAAACACCAGACAATAAGCCAAAAATCATTCCATCGAAGTTCTCCAGTCATTAAAAAAAAAAAAATGAAGACCTCCTACAATAAAGTGACATGCGTATCTGAATTCCTGTAATACAGAAGTTAGCTTGTGCCAGTGGCAGTGGCAAAATGGTACACTTAAAAAAAAAAATCCCGTTAAGAGACCAATGTTTGAACAAGAATGTCTACTTTTTAAATTTTTTAAATGTTTTATTGATTTTAGAGAGGTAAGAAGAGGAAGAGAGAGAAACATTGATGAGAGAACGTATGAGATCATCAATGGACTGCCTCCTGCAAGCCCCCTACTGGGTATCTGGCCCACAACCCGGGAATGTGCCCTGACGGGGAATCCAACTGTGTCCTCTTGGCACAGGGGACCATGCTCAACCGAGACACACCGGCCAGGACTGAACAAGAATGGCTTAGGCTAGCAATCAAACTGCTCCTTCCCCTGTCTATGAGGGGACACTGACAACTCTGCACTTCTGTAAGGCTGTTGGATTTGGTGGAATTTGAAATGTGCTGAGTTTTGTGGACATGTAGGCAATACAAAAATAGAGACAGATGTCACTCTTCCAGGACTTTCTAGAGGTAAGCTAGGTGGCATTCAGGGAGAAACTGTCTCATTTGGGTGCTGCATGGGTTCCATCTGGGAAGAAAGAGCTGGATCCAAGGTCAAGGTTAATGGTGATTTGGTCCATGAGTCCTGAAAGAAAAGGAAATCTCCACAAAACAAAAACGAGAAAAGGAAATCTCCACAAAACAAAAACGAGAAAAGGAAATCTCCACTAGACTGCAACACTAGGGAATGATGGACAACAATTGCTACCAAATGTGTCCCCCCCCCCCCCCCCCTTATCCATCCAACCTAAGCTTCTCCTTAGGCCCCAAGTAGTAAAAGTATCACCAAACACCTGGCCACTCCAAAAATGTAGGAGTCATTGCTGAGTTCTCTCTCAACCTCATTATCAGTTACTCGTTCTCTCCACCTACGAAACATCCAAACAGTCCATTTCTCTCCACCTTCACTCCTCTCATCCCAGCCACAGCGACCTGCCTCTTTCCTTGACTGCTTGCTCGCCTCACTGATAGCCTTCCATTCTTGCCCCTCCCCCGACAGTCTACACAGAGCACAGAGTAAGATCTCACTCTTGCTGAAACCCCTCCAGCTGCACCTCGAATGCAATCCAGACTTCAGCACGGCCCCGGCCACCGGCCCTGCGCCCGAGGACAGCGCCCCGGGCGCGCACCAGCCTGTCCGCCCAGCGGTCAGCGCTCCGGACTCGGCGGTCTCAGTGCAACCCCTGTGTCCCCTCATCTGACCGACCTCAACTTAGGTCACAGACCAACACCTGGAATCATCTTTAAAGACGAGGTGTTAAAGTGTGGTTGTCTCTTTCCCAGCAGGACGTCAGCTTCGAAAGAGCGGCGACCTGGTCTCCCAGGTGCACGCCGGCCCGGCGCACGGTAGGTGGGGATGGTTCTGTTGGACCTGGGGCAGCCCGAGCTGGCGGCACCGAGGGCCGACACAAGGTGACCTGGCTGTGCGGGCCTCGCCCCGCGTCTCAGGCTGCGCGGGAGGGCATCTCGTAACCAGAGGTCACTTACGCCGAGGGCATGTGACTGTTCCCGGCAAGAGAGCGCGGCGGCCCGGGCGCCCCAGGCCAGAGAACGCGGCGGGACCCGCCTCGCGGCTTCGCTTCCGGGTGAGGGGCAGGCGCGCCGAGCACTTCCGGGGCGGGCGGCGGATCCGGCTGTGCGGGCCGCGCCGCGGCTGCTGGTCCCGGGCGCGCGGAGGGCGCGAGCGGCGCGGGGACTCCGGGCCCCGGCGGCGGCCCATGGGGCGCGAGGCGTGAGGCCGCGGCCTGCCCGGGGCTCGGGGGGTGGGGGGAGCGGGGCGGGGAGATGGATAAACTGACCATCATCTCAGGATGTCTCTTTCTCGCCGCCGATATCTTCGCCATCGCCAGCATCGCCAACCCCGACTGGATCAACACCGGGGAGTCCGCGGGTGAGCGGCGGGCGCGCGGGGGCGGGGGCGAGGAGGGGCCGGCGGAGGAGAGCGGCCCGGGCGCGGAGACCCGGGCTGGGCTGGCGGGTCCCGGACCGGGAAGCAGGGTGAGGGGAGACAGTCCCCCGACGTGAGGGGCCGCGGGGGAACAAGCTTCGTTCTGGTTTTTTTAAAAAAAGTCCAAGTTGGAAACGGGAAGAAAGCGGTTTGGAGGAAACGGAGGCACCGGCGAAGGAATCCTAAAGCTGCGGGGAGGCTGGGCCGGAGAGGCTGCCTGTGGCGAGGAGGGACCCGGGGCGCCAGGCCCACCTCTACCCGAGGAAGCGGCGGGGAGCGGTGGCGGCAGAGGCCGGTCGCCGGCCCGGGGCGGGGAGTGGGCGCCGGGGGGACCCCTCCGCTCCCCGCCCAGCCCCGGCCCCCTTGGCAGCGGCGGCGATGTTTGTGGCTCCCGATTTTCCCTTTGAGGTCTCTGTGGTTATAATTTGGCTTTATTTTAGGCCCGGGAGCTATAAGCCTACTATTAATAAACTTCATTTTATGGAGCATCTTTCATTTCAGCGCATCGCAGAAGCGCTTTAGAGATCTTAATAGCATCACCGAGTTAAATAATACGGTACACCCGAGCGGCAGGCAGCTCGGCGCAGCGGCGGTGCCTGCGGACCGCGGAGCCGGCGCTGGCGGACCGAGGCGGCACCTTCTTCAGACGGATGTCGCAGGTGCATGCCCGCGCGGTTTCCAGCTGCTTGCTCATGCCAGGCGAAGGGAATATTGGGGGTTAGGAATGTCAGGTGCCTTCCGTGAGTAATTGCTCTTAAAAATGTATCACTGTGCTGTCAAACTACTTGTTAAGTATTACTTACGGTTCTCTGTTTATCCTGCAATATTTTTAGTTCTTCAAAAAGGATGTAGCTGGGACATTTGTTGCTTTCTCCTCCCACCCTCTCTCCCTCTTCTAGACCTAGTAACATAAAATCATGCTGTCAGACTTACTGGTTATTAAGATAACACTCTGCTCCCCTTTGCCTATACAGTTTTAGCACAGTTCTTAATTGTAAAGTATACTATCTATTATGTAAGGTGATCGAGGTGTTAGCTAATGATAGGTGGTGATCCTATTGCAGTAGATAAATGTATGAAATCAACACATTGTACACCTTAAACATACCCATTGTTATACGTCAATTTGTAAAAAATTGTAAAGCATATATAATATCGCAGTGATTTAAAGTTTGGTGAAACTATGAGTTTTATTTCTGAAAATGTTGGCAACATCAGCATTACTAGTTTGCACAGTTATATGTGTGACATCAGTTCATGACCTGTTCTTGTTGTTGCCCTAATTATATATGCAGGACTCCTTTTATGGGACTTTCTTTGGAGCTTTATGTTTTTAAGGACAAAGAAGTTTCACTGTTTTAGCAGAAGAGATCCTCCTCGCAAAGAAATTTCAGGTGGAATTCCAAAGTATAAAATAGACTAAATAATCCATTGAGAAAGCTAGATAGTTGAAAGGGAACTATTATCTATACAGGAGAAGAAAGATAAGTAACAGCATAACATCCTGAGAAGGTGGAAAAGGGCAGCATTCAGAGCAGTGGGAAAGGGTATGTAGCCCCTCTGTTACGCTCAAGAGGATGGGTGCAGCCCCTTCAGGTTAGTAGGCTAAGTCTTCTGCTGTGAGTTGCTATGGAGATGGGAGGAACAGAAGTCCAAGGTTTGAAGTAAGCTGAAATGTTGGAAATAAGTGAATACTTGGCAAGGGAGCACGCCATCCGGTGACATGGTAGGATTGCCTAGCATGTGGAAGCCTCAGAGAAGGCGGTGGCCATGTGGTGTGATAACGCATCTGCCTGTCGACCTTCTCCAGGAGTGCTCAGCTACTTGGGTACCAGTGTGCGGTGCAAGCCAACAGAAGGCTTCATTCAGGGTTGGGGTTTGCCAGCTACCTGGAACAAAATGACAGTGCAGCAAAGGTAGTCAGGGTGTTGGTCAGAATATCATCATGCTGGCTCATGGACTCTTGCTGGGTAAAGAGTAAATAAAAGTGAATAAAGGAAAGAGCAGTGGATTGGTCAATGAATAGCAAACAGTATAAGGAAGAGTGGACCCAGTGGAATCAAAGACCTGACTGGGAATGGTCAGTACAGCTAAGTGGAAGGGCAGGAGATTGTGGACACATGGTCCAGGGCGTGACATTGAGAATGTGTGGCCGAAGTGGGGTAAAAGAGATGATTTTTTTTTTTCCTAACAGTTTTCCTTGCCATCTCAGAATACCATGTTCTGTAGCTAGAAAGAGGAATGAATAATAGGAGATAGGGACAGAGGAAATATTTCAAAATCTTAAACAACCCACATTTCTTAACTATGTCAGACAATAAGCTCCCAGAACTTAAAATAAATGGGATATGTGCATTTGTTCACTCCTTTGCTCTTGCACTGTGATAAGATGTACCTGAACTTTACCTGGTGTTTGATTGAGTTTGTGTGCTCCTTTGACCTGAGGAAGCAGAGGTAGGCTTGAATTAAAAAAAAATAAAAAATCGTGCTCGCTTCGGCAGCACATATACTAAAATTGGAACGATACAGAGAAGATTAGCATGGCCCCTGCGCAAGGATGACATGCAAATTCGTGAAGCGTTCCATATTAAAAAAAAAAAAATCAGTTCAGAGTTACACCTTCCAAATCCATGAAACATTTACAGGAAGTTCAAGTAAGACCTGAGAAGTGACAGGACTAACTTTATTCTAAGATCTGCACAAAAGTGACTTAACCTTGCAGCAAAAAGTTGTATTGGTCCCCTTTGGTGCATTACATACAGTATTGAAGTTTTTGTGTTTTTTATTGTTTTGTTTTTTTAAAATATATTTTATTGATTTTTTACAGAGAGGAAGAGAGAGGGATAGAGAGTTAGAAACATCAATGAGAGAGAGAAACATCAATCAGCTGCCTCCTGCACACCCCCCACTGGGGATGTGCCCGCAACCACAGTACATGCCCTTGACCGGAAGCGAACCTGGGACCCTTCAGTCCGCAGGCCGATGCTCTATCCACTGAGCTAAACCGGTTAGGGCTTTGTTGATTTCAGAGAGGAAGGAGGAGGGAGAGATACAAGCATCAATGATGAGAGAATCATTGATCAGCTGCCTCCTGCACACCCCCCACTAGGGATGGAGCTCACAACTCTGGCATGTGACCTCCTGGTACATATATCAACGCTCAACCACTGAGCCACACCTGCTGGGATTTCCTGTGATTTTTTTGAATGGACAAAGTATTTTGAAAGTAGAATTCTGGAGCCAAAAGATTCTGCAGAATGTAGTTGGAGAACCACTGCAGTGAATTACTAAGGCAAAGCTTTAGGATTCTAATCTGAACTTCATCACTTCCTAGTTCTGTGACTTTGGGCAAGATACTTAGCCTCTCCTTCCTCCATAAAATAGGAATAATAATCGTACCCATGTCATTGGGTTTTTGTGATTAATTGAGTTAATGCATGTAAAACATTTAAAACAGTACCTGACACATGTAAGTGCTCAGTAAACGTTAAGTGTCATTGCCCTCGCTGGTGTGACTCAGTTCGTTGGACATCGTCTGTGCACCAAAAGGTTGCTGGTTTGACACCAGGTCAGGGTGCATGCCCAGGTTGTGAGCTCAATCCCTAGGAGGGGCATGCAGGAGTCAGTCTATCGATGTCCCCCTCTCACATCAATATTTCTCTTTCTCTTTCTCTCTGAAAATCAATAAACTATTCTTTTTCTTAAAAAGTTAGGTATTGTTGTGTTGCTGTGACAGCTTATAAAAACAGATATCAGGATCCCAGTTTTGAAATTAAAACTCAGAACTTGTTACTTGTTCTTGGAAATAAGGAAACATCAAGAATAACAAGTCACATAAATTGTCTTCTCTCTTGGTTTTGCACTTCATTCCCATATGGTTCCTCCTCTTTCAGTCTCTCATCTTCTTATTCTAGTCTCTCTACTTCTCAGATTCTATTTGAACTATCACAAAAGGGAATGAAATATTCAAAAAACTTAGAGAATAACTTTCTAAAATCGCAGCTCATAAACTATATTGCCATAAGATTATGGACCATGCTTCTTCTGATAGAGTTTTTAATTTGTTTATCAGAAAGTACATTCCTTTTATTTTCATCTGTATATGGTAACACTTCCTGAGCTTGTTCTAATAGCTTGTAGATTATGCACAAATTTTTGAAGATATAATGAAACAAATAGATATTACGCGGATGTCTGGGGAAAGAAAGTACATGGTTAGAGCACTTTAGTAAGGACTCACAACAGTTTCTACTAATGTAATAGAAAACCTAAACTAGCAGGTAAATGTAATGACAATTACATAATTCTGCTGTGCTGAGATCAAATTACTTCTGGTGGCAGGAACTCAACATACTTGGCAATATTTTTCATTTTACAAGTATATAGTGCTTTATTGTTTTTGAAGCAATTTTATAGTGATGATTTTATTTCCTAGGCTTATTTTTGGCCACTGTAAACTACTCATTTCCACATTTTCTCCACATATCAATGCTTTGCATATGAGGTTTGAGTTTCAGTGTTGCAAAAACTCACTTCAAATACCTCTTTAGGCCCTGGCCATAGTGGCTCAGTTGGCTGGAGCATTATCCTGTACACCAAAAGGTCACAGGTTCTGGTCAGGGCACATACCTAAGTTGCAGGTTCGATCCCTGGTCGGGGCACATAGGGGAGGTACCGATTGATGTTTCTCTCTCTCTCCAGTTGAGGATTTAAAAAAAAAAAATCTCAAGAAAACAATACCTCTTCATTGAACTATTGCCTGGATCTTATTTATACATGCCTTAAGTGAGGTTAAATTTTAATTAATCTGGCTGAAATATTTCCAGATTACAGAATTGGGAAAGAAGGAGATTTGGGTTTCAGTCTTAATGTGATGTCCTTTGCTTTGTATAAGTCCATTAACCTCACTGTCACTGGTTTCTTATCCCTAAAGAGAGAAACATTTTTAGTGAAAAAGAAATTTTTATTGAATTAATTTTAACAAGATCGACAGTTAAGCAAAGCTTCTTCTGATAATTGTGGATGATCTAGAGATGCCTTTCTTTTGAGGCATCATCCCTTCGCAGCAAGGATTTCAGTGACCACTTAGGGCTATATTATCCTAGCACAGTGGCCGGCAAACTCATTAGTCAACAGAGCCAAATATCAACAGCACGATTGAAATTTCTTTTGAGAGCCAAATTTTTTAAACTTAAACTATATAGGTAGGTACATTGTTATTAACTTAATTAGGGTACTCCTAAACTGGCCTTTGCTAAAAACGTCCTCAATCTGAGGGGTCGACCTCAGCGAACGTACCCCCACTTCTTCTAACGCCACTTCTTCAAAATAGACTCGCCCAGGCCGAAAACCGACTTCTGCGCATGGGCCACGAAGTTTCAATCACACTGTACGTGCGCGCCCGCACGTGGTATTTTGTGGAAGAGCCACACTCTAGGGGCCAAAGAGCCGCATGTGGCTCGCGAGCCTCGGTTTGCCAACCACTGTCCTAGACAGATTTGCTTAGTGTTCTTTATGAAGATTTCTAAATGCTTCCCCAAAGTTTCCAGTACACGAAGGCACGTCTCCCTTATATCTAATCAAAAATTTTATCTCTAGAATTGGTTATTCTACCCACATTGTCATCCGTCTGTTTATTCATGAAATTATTTTCACTTTTGTTCTTTTTAAAATTGCTTAGACTGAATGTTGGAGTATTTAAGGGTCTCAATGACTGCTACCCCCTTCCCTGCTTGTATTC